GTGTGTGTGTGTGTAGTATGTGTGTATTTTTAAGTGCCAGAATTTAGAAGTGCAATAATTTCTACCTTTTAAGAACAAATGCCCTTTCTCTACCCTGAATGGAAAGTGATTACGTATACACATTTGCTGCATAACTGGCAGTAACATAATGAAACCATAGCAAGTCATGAGTCTAAATCTAAAAATACATACTAAACTGGGATAAATTGGGCACTAAATCTTTTCATTTAAAACCCAGTCTGAGGAGGGAGACCTTCACAGGCCAAGCCACAACTCTTTTACTGCTTCCCTTTGATACACACTATCCTTCACCACTGATTCAGGTCTCCGCTGGTATGTGTAAATGCTGGCAAAGAGTATTAGTGTCAACAATAACTCCTTCAGAGGCACAAAGGATGAAGATTTTGTTCTACCATTGCAGATAGTAAAAAGGAAAATGTGAATACATGCTAAGAAAACGTATTTCCAGCTGCACAACATCCTTTTTTTTTTTTTGTAAAGGTGCAGACAGACTGGCCTGAAAACAATGTTTTGATGTCCTCTTGGATACTAATGTTGATTTTTACAAAGTATTCATTATGATCATTTTATAAATTATTCCTAGTTGGAATTAAGTACATGTTTTTCTGAAGGTCACAATTATACCTACATATGTATAGACTGCAGGACTTTACCCTCAACCACCTTCATCCAATTATTCTCATCACAGGCCACCACTAGGGCCTTTGGTAAAGGGCAGGGACTCATGCAGAAAGGACACAATATGCTGCTTTGCAAGGTGAGCAGCCGACACTCAAACCAGTCTGTTCAAAGTACAAGGCAGCAACCACCTTGGATTTTCATGCGACTTACTAGGATTTCAGAAGCAGTAGATTGAGAAGCCATCTATAAAATTACACAACAAAAACTGTTGTAAACTTTCATGAACATTTCCTTGTTATAAGCTATCCAAGTACCAGAGAAATACACTGAGTATATATGTAAAAATACCCTTTGGGGGCAGCATGGAATGGGAACAATCTATATGCTGGAGATGCTACAAATGAATTCTACTGCAGAGATCCTTTACCCTAGGAATTGGAAACTTGAAATTCTGTGAATGTGTGTGCTTTAAAGTAATGATGCATATGCTATCTAACTCCACTCACACATTTTACTCAATGTGCTGTGAAATTAAAAGAGAACATATTGATATCAGGTGGCTATTTAAAACTTGATGGTAAGTCATTTTCTAAACTGCTAAATGGGTTGACTTAAGCATACAAAGTGATGCAAATTGGGGCACGCCACAACCCTATACAAGCATATGTGAGCTTCCAGGGTTTCTGTGTTGTTTGACTTAGATACCCCACATGTTTATGGAAATGCGCATCTGCTAAGGGAAGGAAGGAGGGAGAGGATCTACTGCAAGAAGAGCCACTGTACCCTGAAGAAACTAAGTCTCAGGACCTCTTCGCACTACCGTGATGAGATGTCACTTATGTATACAGTGGAGTCCAAGTCACTCTCCATCCAAAACTTTTAAAGTCACTGCAATGCCAAGATACTTTTGCACTCATTTTTCTGTGCAAAGTCATTATATCTTGGGTTTCTTCCTTCATTCAAGTGGCAAGCAGGTTCTGTATCGAAGGAGGGTTCTAATGATATGGAGAAAACGCTTTTATATGAGGAAGTGTATCAAAAGTAAGAGTTGATGGTAATGATGGGAAGTTTCCATAAACATCTTATCTCAATCATAACGGGGACCAGCAATTCCAGTGAACTTAGTCATAGTGCTACCATTCCAGACAATGATGATGCATGACACACAGTCCTGTTCACACAGAAATACTGTTTTCAATGAGCTTTAGAAGTCCAGCTACAAAGCTGGCAAGAAAAATTCCCCAATACCACCCAAGAAGCAGGTCAAGGAAAAGGATAAGAGGAGAAGGCAGAAACAAAACATGGAGAAGCTCAAGGAGCTAGAAATGAAGCCTGATAAGAAATGCCCCCAGCCAAAGGTGGGATCAAGAAATCTGACAAAATGTAAGCTATTCTTTGTGACCAATGCAATGGAGGCTCCCTGCATCCGGTTCCCTGCTATAACATCCACTGCCATCTATAAAGCAAAAAAACAAACTAGCTGCTACTGAGTCAATGCTGGCTCACAGGGTCCCACTGTGGGTTTCCCAGACTAACTGTTTATAAGAGTAGAAAGCCCATTCTTTCTCAAGAGGAGCTGCTGGTGGTTTCGAACTGCTTACCATGTGGATTGCAGCCCGACGTATATACACTACACCAAGGCTCCACAGCTAGAATGAAATACCTCTAGGGAGCCTGTTGTTCATTTTAAGATTTAGTTCTTCCAACTCAGTATTCTAATCTTGGCTGTGATGTTAGTTGGGAATCCTACTAGAGTCAGCTCTTCAGTCTTGGTTTATGCCCTGAAATCTGTACCACCTGAAATTTTAACAGGTATTTGAGAGGAATAACACAACAAACTTAAACTTTTAAAATGGTGGGTGGGTGGAGGGGTATTCTATTTCCAATTCATATTAACGTCAATTCACTTAGTATTTACTGAGCATCATGGCACCATGCTAGAGCCAGAACAATCTTGTAAAATATGTTTCAAGATACAGAAATGAAGGTGTAATTAAACAAGGTCAGAAAAAGGCTTTACAGAGGTTGTTACCAAAGGAAGTGGGTTTTGAAGGATGAAGAGAAGTTCACTGGGCAAGAAAGGAAAGAAATGAGGAGCCGTAGGTATGGTTGAATATTCCAAGAAGGCTAATCTTATTAGTACTTTT